GTGCGTGCGAGACTTCAAGTATTTTAGATCCTATACCAGTATGTTTACAAAATGTAATTTTTGTTGTGCACCCTACCATTGCACGAGGCCTATTTAAATACTTGACTGAAGGAGATAACATTGAATGAATTCAAAGGGTACGAAGATGCTTATATGGATTATTGATGCGTTGAAAATTTTTTAATAATTACAAAATCCTGCTTGCACCTGCAATGTATTTATTGTGTATTAAAAATAAATGGTTAATGTTAAAATAAGGGACAGAAAGAGGCATTTGCAAGAATATTTGATAAAAATAAATTTAAATGAACATGGTCAAGATTTTTTTTATGTGGTTTTCTTGGACATCCAATGCTTGGCAATATAGTGTAATCTGAAACAACTACAAGGAGATTGAAAACGCGACTGGATTCAATTGTTTCTCTAGTTTGTAATGTCTTGTGCTTCACTGATATGCAAATAAGGTTGTTCGAACCGCAAGTTGTCAACTTCCACACAAAAGACAAGTGGATATTTTCGTAGCAGTATAGGTAAAGATACTAGAAACAAAAGATAGAGTTCTCTACAGAAAAAAAACTGTTCCACCGAAATGCATGGTGAGAATACAAATAATGGGGCGCCGCGTACGACTGGATCTAAAAAAACTTCTGTAACCACCGTTACATAAATTTGAATACGTAACCTCTTTTTGCGGAGGTTGAAATACATGCCATTATTCATAAGATACACACAAGTAGGCACAAATAAATCAAAATAAAATATACAACAAATAGGTCAGCGCTCGACTAACATGTTTTCATTTACATGGCTCAGTAATTATGAACTGAGAATGCGCAGTAAGCATTCGTTTAGCTGCAACCATAGAGCTATTAAACAACTAGAGTGCTGACAAGATGGCGGAGCAATGCAGAGTTGTGTATGTGTACCATCCATAGAGCTATTAAACAACTAGAGTGCTGACAAGATGGCGCAGCAATGCTGAGTTATGTATGTGTACCATCCAAGATGGCCGTCGCACAGTGGGCCAGAATCAATTCAAAGTGTGCCAAAAGTCGAAAATAGGTAATGTGACAACTTCAACTTTTAAAGGTTGTTTGATGTCAAGAACATCCTAAATTATATTAATCCACCAATAATTTCATATTAAGTGAATTTTCATAGTGTGATATAACCATGTAAACATGAAAAAGTTGTATTTTACTCGTAAAATGATAAAATTGACAGTTTTGAAAAACTCCCTATGACTTTACTTAGATAAAAGCAGTCAACTTAATACTTCTTGCAGTATTTACCTATTGTTAACTAAATTAGATAGTAAAATAAAAAATGACATTATTGGTATGTTTTTAGAATAAAGGACGCTAAATATGAGCCAAAAACGCTTAAAAACATTTTTTTCATAAAACCAACTTAAAAGAATTGCCGGCGATTTCCGTCATGCTTTTGATATCAACATTTCTGGCAGAGCCTTAACTTTACGTTGATGCCAAGTTTAGCTGCCAATATCTGCCACCCTGCATTTAGCAAGCGATTTAATATACCCCCCCCCCCACAAAAGCGCCGTTTTTTAATTAAGGTATACGATAAAATTATTCCTGCAGCCATTGGGTGCCAAATGTAAAAACAAGTACACTCGATTCCCAGTGTCATATCTAGGAGTGAATTGGGGAGGGAGATCATTGGTGGATCTGGAGGGGTCAGGGTCCTGACCACAACCCCTTGGACAAAAACATTAAATAAATAAATATTTAAAAAATAATTCTAGACTTACTTTTCCAGGACCCGTAAGCTGATTATTGAGTTTTGTGTTACAATTGGACAATTAAATGTCGGAAATGCTCAATCAAAATTTTGATGGGGGATGACCCCGTTTCAAAAAAAAAAAAAAGAAAAGAAAAAAAAAAGAAAAGAAAAAAAAAGACTCAATCAAAATTTTGATAGGGGAAAAGAAAAGAAAAAAAAAGAAAAGAAAAAAAAAAGAAAGAAAGAAAAAAAGAATGCGTAAGCAATTAATCATATTTATACCTCTACACACACAATAGGCCTCTTTACTGTATTAAAAATCAGAAAATTTACCTGACCGTTCAATTAATCATATTTATACCTCTACACACACAATAGGCCTCTTTACTGTATTAAAAATCAGAAAATTTACCTGACCGTTCAATAGGGTAAACCTTGATTTTGTTTTTATTAAAAGACATTAAAAGATACTTCAGAAGTCTGAAAAGCTCACTTTCCGCAATCTGGGAATCAAAATTTTCCAGGGGCTAACATGATTCCGCGCCTCTCCCCGGTTCCTCTTTAGGGTTCATCGATTCATTAAAAAACGTCAAGAGAGGGAAACCAAAATTTCAGAAGTTGAGAAAACCCGTTTTCCGACATATAGGAATCAACATTTTCCCACCACCGTCCTAATTGGGGTTCATCGGTTCATGGAAAACAAAATAGGCCTACTTAAGCAACTACTCATTTTTTATACACACATAGGCCTGTTTACTGTAATAAAAATGGCAAAGTTGACATGACTGTTTTCAAGGAAAGGAAAATCTTGAACTTTTCATTTTGAAGTCAATTATTCTAGGAATCATATTTTTTCCGACACTTTCTCTTTTGTTTTTATTTTTTTATTTATTTTTTTAAACATTTTGACTCCATCCTAAATCTGAAGCCAAATTGCCTCTGGAGATGATAAGGGCATCCCAAGGTGAGTGATGGGATAGGGGTAAATGCCCGATGAAGTGGGACCGCTCATGTAATTTCTTTTTTTTTTTCATTTATTTATTTAGCCTCCATTCAAATACAACAATTATTGCTCACGCAAATTATAGCGATATTAGGTAAATTCAGTCTGTTTGACCGTGATCTTTTGTGCTTATTTTCACTGGTGAGGGCAGACTAATGGGGTGGACGTGGACTAAGGGGGTACTGCAGGTGTCTTCTTAACACTCCACCTTCCACCCTTTTCTTTGAAGAAATGTATTTTAATAATGTCACATAAAGTGTAAAATGTTCTAATTTGAATTTGCCGGTCTAGAAACCCTTATTTGTGTCATACTGAGCTCTTGCAAGTTATTCTGTCTAGATCTTAAAATTTACGTCGTCCAATAAGAAAAAATACTTTAATGACGTCATACATATTTAAATATGCTTGCGTTGAAATCTACAGGTTAGAAAACCCCTTATATGTTCTAATAACCAAGGTAATATGAATCTGCCTAGGTATTACAATGAATATTTTACATATCCAATCAAAAAACAGTAATTTGATGACGTCATACATATTTAAAAATAGTTTAATTGAATTCAGCAGGTTTGAAAACCCCTTAAACAGTCTTAACATGAACATAATCAGTATTTTCTTATGAGTATTGACTTTTGGCACACTTTGAAACAATTCTGGCCCACTGTGCGTCGTAGTAAAGCGCCACCTTCAGGCTTAGTATACATATTATTACCATAAATAAGCCCTCTGACTGAATATTATTTCATTATTGATAATTAGTATTGATAATGACAAATACAAACTGTCGTAGCCAAAAAGAGGCAAGTAGAGCATCTTATTCAAATATTTAAAAAAAATTAAAATCGTGTACATTACACCCATACACCCATACGAGTTTCAAACATACGGGTAACTAGCTGTACTGAACTTTCTGTGTAAATTGAGGGCGCCATTGAAAATGATAGTGCTCAGGCGAAATTTGATTGGCTGAATCTATGGCAGCCATCTTGGATGGTACACACACACAGCTCTGCGTATTGCGAACATTGAATACATTGCTGTTAGTGCTCTAGAATTCTTATTATATCTCTATGGCTGCAACAGGGTTTTCTTCCTCCATGGTTGACTTGATTTGCATATCAAAAAGCATGCAACAACACACAACGAATAGCCGGGATGAAAGAATAAGGAAATCTCGGGTCGTTTCCAATTTCCTTGTATAGTTGTCTCAGGTGAAATGGAATATTCTGTAAAAAAAAACAAAAAAAAAAACAAAAAAAAAAACAAAAACAAAAAAACGAAACAGAAATTTATTTGATTGAGACCACGACTGTGGTGCGACATGCCTTTTTTTAGGAGACAATTCATGGCCGGGCCGGAGGAACAAATATTTTTTCTAGGTCTGGCGCCTTGTGCTCCTTATTGTTTGTGTATTTTGGAAGGTAATATTTTGAGAATAATAGACAACACATTAACCTACTTGCAGTTAAGTATTTATCTAAAAGGTTCTAAAGTAGGATCACCGACGCCATTTAAAGAGAGGCTGCACAATGTGTTAGTACAAACTTTAAATGATCACACAAAAACGTGCGTGCGAGACTTCAATTAGTCCTACTTTAAAACTATGTTTTCAAAAAAGTGTTTTTTTAGTACACTGGTGTCACGAAGCCCACGTAAATAACTGACTGAACAAAACAACATTTAATTAATTTAAAGAGTGTGGATCTGTTCATTATGGCTTGTTGTTGGAAAACACAAGTGAAGTAAAAAAAATGTAAGCACCATGTCCTGCTTGCTATAAAGCAGATCTCAAATGTATTCATGTTTCTCTGCCAAAATACTTAGACCTACTCATCTCCGACAGAGAAACCTTTATAAAAATCAACAAAAATTTAATGTATTTTTTAAAAGCAGTTAATAGTGCAGACACCATGAGCTGTTGACTTATTAGTACGTTGGCCTCTAAATTGTGGTAGCCACAAAAAATAGGTCTGTCGCATGTTATATATGGTATCGATATATGCTTCTTCTTTAATACATAGATGTTTCTATTCAGTCCAATTCCGGTCAGCCAGAAACACACTTTTTACTAATTCATCCAAACCAGAAAAGTGTAGACCTTCTCAGCCTAGAATAACTTCAGGGCTGGTGGAATTGGTATGTCTCTTGAATATGATTAGGGATCGGGTGCGTGGCACAATAACGAATGAATAACAATAATTAAACGTGTACATAGTATCACTACTACAATTAATAAGAATAATATTTTTCAATCTTATAATCAATCTTATATAGCTAAAAAGGTAACTTTCTCCATCAAAGACCAAACCCAGTACCGTTACGATTTCTAATCGTACGGGAAATCCACTCACCATATTAAAATAAAGTACTGTGTAGCGATTGTATGGAAACCGAGCTTTACAAAGAGGAGGTATGTACTCCTTAATGAAGTCGGACTGCTCGAGTTTTATATTTTATCATATCATAATATACATTTATAATAACTTATTTTTATAAATATTCGTGGTGTTTTTTTTTCTCTTCAGCTACCTGTATTTTGGAATGTGACATGGAAGGAAATTGTCGGGTGGTGGAGGGAGCCACATGCGATTTCATTAAGGCTTCAAACAACAAGGGTGAGTGTTATATAATTGAACTGTAACTGATTAATTTTCTCAGCAAGAAAAGCTTTCGTTTAACTTCTGATTTCTTCTTCTATCCCTATGGTTTTCTTACCGGCACTTTTGTCACTTTCCGTGCTTGGCTCTTCTTCAAAGGTTGTCCAAACATATTAAAATATTATGTCATTCTACATATTTTGAATATTACTAAACGGGTATAAAAGTTATGTTAATTTTCGTTTTCGAAAGCGGTTTAAACTAGCTATAGCTACGTTAAACACTACGGAGCCCCTAAAGGGACATGGTAAGAAAAACTATTAAATTATTTCGAGGGAACGAAATATTATTTCGAGGGAACGAAATCATTTGCTTACCTCGATAATATTTCGTATGATGCGCCGACAGTGCCTTCGGTGGCGGCTTTACGCTCGGCGCAAATAGGACACATCATTCGCCGACCACATCATTCGACGACTTTATCATGAAACCACCAATTTTAGTTTTTTATATTGGGATTTTTTTTTGTACATTTTACAACTTCACGTTGTGTTAATATTTAAATCATGTTGCATGAACTGAAACTCCTGCTTTTCAAGCCTTTTCAGGCGGCGACCCACTTAACTCCGGATTCTTTGGCGGGCGACCCAAGGCACATATTGTTGTATTACTGGCTACTCTTGTCCTGTCCACTGTGTGGACGAAAGCTAGAGAATAGATTATATATTGTTAGTCTCAAAAGTGCTGCTGTTTTTTACTTTATACTTTCTATACTGTACAGACTAACGCGGCTATACTTTTTATTCATCATACTCCTGTTAATAATGTTGCATTACTTAGCCTTAATTTAATTTCAATAAAATCATAATGCGACACTTTTTAGACATATTGCTTAGTATTTTTTATGTAGAAAATCTGTGCTAGTTAAAGTCAGGCTCCGGAGGGAAAAAATTGATATGTTGTAAAACTGAAGGAAAAAGGGCCGACCCATCTATATATATATATATATATATATATATATATATATATAATGCTGTAGTCGCCATCGAATGATAAATTCGCTGTCAACAGCCGACGCCAAAGGCACTGTGGGCGTACCATATACGAAATATTATTTTGAAGGCTGAGGGAACGAAATGATTTCGTTCCCTCTAAATGATATTGGAATCAAATTAGAGTAATATTTATGATATAATATAAGGGTGGTGGTGGTAGGAGTAATAATAATGATAACTATTATTATTATTTTTGTTATTATAGTTATCATCTATATGTTAAAGCATATTTCAAACATTAGTGGCGAATCCAGGGGGATCCTCCGTGAAGAAATGTAACAAAAAAATGCTACTGGGGCTTGTCCTACAAAAGGCACGCTAACCTACTTAGGCATTCCGGGTTGGCAGATCGGACAAACAAGGCTTAGCCAAATTATCTTTCAATTAAATAAAATTAAAAACATTGTTTTTGGTTTTAAGTCGTAAACATATTTTTTGTACGAAAGTGATTTTGAAGAACACTCTAACAGGATAAAATAAGCAATATTAAATTGAGTGTCAAACTTAACAAATGATCAAGCAGAACAGGGTCAAGAATACATCGCTACCCACCCTCCCCCCCCGCTCTAGTTTTATATCATTACAGCAAAAAACGTCCATAATAGACATTATAGGCCTACAAGCATTTTTTGCTCTTCAGCAAAATGCGTGTTGCAGTGCGAGAAGCAGGGCAGTTGCCGTGTGGCGGATGGAGCCATTTGTGACTTTATAGAAAATAACAACGAAGAGACTTCAGATAACAATGGTGAGTGTGATGTAATTGAATTACGACTGTTTAATTTAGGCAAATCGCCTTTTCACCATTGTCGTAATGAGAAATAAAATTGAAATTATTAAAACAAAATTAAGTGTAAAAAGTAAATGAAAAAAGACAAACAAATGCTTAAACATAAAAAAAAAAATCAATTTGAAAATGTTGAAAATAAACAGATGATCTCTTAATAACATTATTATCATCAGTAATAATTATTACCTTCTCCTGTATAGAGCATAGAAGAACAAAGAGGGACGATAGTGCTGGAAAAGGTCAGTTTTAACTGTTTTTCGTCTTTGGTAGAGCAACATCTGTGTCCTCAGTTGTGAGAACAGCATTAAATAGAGTTTGTTGTACCCAATGAGTGTCCGCTGAACCGTGGTTTTATATCAATAATGTCAAAACGTGTTGCGCTTTTGCGCTGGTGCAATCGTGTAATCAACATCAACAGTATTGTAATGTAATGAGTGGGACTTGATATAGTCCATTTTACGGAAGTCTCAATGCGCTTTTGTTATCGTTATCGTCGTCATAATCATCATCATCATCATCATCATCATCATCCCCACCACCACCACCACCACCACCACCACCACCACCATCATTATTCAGCATCATCACTGTTGCTGTTACTGGTGTTACTTTTGTTTTGTTTTTTTAATTTTTAGATTTTGGTTATTATTCTAAGTGATATCCTGTCATTTATTGGAAAAATAATACAATTTCTTTTAATTTTCTGACAGACTGTCTACTCTATTCATTAAGTTATAGCAATATAAATCGAGAGACGATAGACGATGATCGATGGACGATTGACGTCAGACGACAGACGATAGATAAGATAATAAAATAATGATTTAATAAAAGAATAATAATGAAAGAATAAAATAATACAATGAAAAATGATAAAATAATAAAATAATAAAATAATAAAGTAATAAAATAATAACAGTGCAGTAAGCGGTTTATCTAATTAATATGCATATAACTTTAAGGCATTAATATTGATGCTACAACTGGATACAGTGTACAATCAACTTATGCATATTCATTGTTACCATTCAGTAAGAAGAAATGATATTTACTTTTGCATTAACAGTTTACAAATATACACATTAACTTTTACTGCATTTTTACTTATATTTAAAAATGTTTAATATACTATATTGATATAATGATAAAAATACTATAATTGTTCGGGGGGACTTTTACAAGTAGAGGGTCCTATACAAAAAAAAAATGATTATCGCAAATCTAGATGGCCGGAAATTGCATTCACAGGCTTAAAATTTGAAAATTTAGTATAGGTGTGATACTATATTTTGAAGATGTCGTTATCCAATATTGAAATGTTATTGTTAGTATTTATCTGTTCTCTAGGAAACCATCAGGAAATGAGAAGTGCAATCTTCGAATTGTCGGTGCGATGTACAAACGTTCTGCGTTGTGGGCGGAAGGATTCAAAACCTGTAAAACCACCAAAAAAGACTACCTCAGTCATCGCATGCTGCTTACAGTGTTTGCACGGCTATCCTCCGTGCGTCTCCATATCTTTTAACAGGAAGACGAACAAATGCACACTGTTCCAGTACTTAGGGTTGCCCAACAAGGTCAAAAACGAAAAAATGATATATTATTCCATTAAACCATACGTGAGTAATGTATTTTGAACACAATGCCATATACCTCTTGTTTCAGATACCCTGCCGTCAACAAAATCGGAGAAAACCTCAAGAATATTTTTTAAATAATATCTTATCTAAAAGGATCAAATAACGAAAACAAAAAAAAAGAAAAATATTTCGATGATTTAGGTCCTACAGACATTTTACTACAAAAATCCAAAATTTGATTGCCAGCCATTTTAAGGGTCTATGTAAAAGAATACAAGAAAGGTATTGTTTACATGTCTCCTCAATAGACGGGGATTTATTTTCTAATAATATTACAAGTCTTCTATACGATTTAGGTTGTTGTTAGGAGTTGGTTTGACGGTGCGTTCAAAAACTACAAATACTAAAACTTAAGAAATTAATTATAATACAAAAATCATCAATTTAACATAAACATAAAACCAATATTAAGGTAGTCGTAAGACAAAAGCTAGATAAAATATAAACAAAAATAACAAAAGGTAATTTTACTGCTTATGCAGCTACCTCCTTTTATATTAAACAAGTTTTTGTTGTTAACACTGTATAAATATTTAAGTAAATTCATAATACGCCGCAACCAGTGCCCGGGTTAGGACCACGATGTCAGCGACGCACGGAACATAGCTCACCAAAGAAAGCTCCACATAGTATTATTGAACCTTCGCCGGCGAACAGCTCGATACTTCACTAAATCACGCTCCCAACGCGAATACTGGTAC